GCAGGCTGGGGGCTTACAGAGTTCTGTTTCCAAGACAGACAATGATTTGTGCAGATTCTTAACCTGCTAAAGCAATTTGCGCAAATAAATGCCCCCAAACCACATGGTTCTAGCATGATGCATGAAGAATCAACCAGTTTGCATAAATTTGCAATTTGCTCTTTGGTGATTTGTACAAAACAGCGAATGCAGTAATAGGTTCAAAAGAATGGGCAAGTTTCAGTCCATTCTAAAAGGAAAAGTATGAAAGCTGCCTCAGTTGTTAGCACAAATTGGCACCTGCGCAATCTGAACCCCAAACAGGTATGTTCAGGCTGGAGTAAACCTGTCCAAGTGAGCAACAAGAACATCCTGTTTGAATATCTAAAGATTATACCTGTGTGTTTTCATTGGATTTCAGCTCCAGGTTAGGGTTAGAATTAGGAAAACCTGGTCCCTAAGCATGACCTAAAGGAGTGGAAATGACTTCAACTGGGCAGAATGAGTGAGTAGCTATCAAGAGCTCCTTTGTGCAGGTTGTCTCAGTGTTCAGCTTCAGGTATGGCTTAAGGCTAGGAAAACCTGCAACTCTATGCACACCTGTGGACCTGGAACTACCCTTAACTAGGCAAGCAAGAAAAAAGGTCACCAAGAATCCCTTGAATGAATGTTGCTGAATGTAAATGGAGTATACCAGGTGCTAAAGTTGTAGTTAAGCTGCAGGTTAGGGTTAATATACCGAAACAGGGAGATCCAGCTCTTCTGAGTTTGACAGATTTCCTGTCCCCTTTTGATTCAAAGATCAAAAACAGGCTGACTTGGGGGGATTTTCACAGACTTCTATCCCTAAGACTGTATTATGCACACTTTTTAAAACTGCTAATGAGATTTGTGTGAATAAGTTCCCAAAAAATCTACACAGCTATAGCATAATTTGTGCAGAATTAACTGATCTGAAAAAAAACCCTCCACAAAAAACCCTTGTAATTTGGGTAAGTTAGATTTTTGCAAATCAGCTGATTCCACACAAGACAAACTGGAGCAACATGATTTTTATGTCCATATTATAGAAAATTTGATTAGTGTTTTTAAAAAATCCACAAATTGCAGCCTGTGAGCTGGGCACACTTTGCAATCAATCAATGCCGACACAGAAAGTGCCAACCAGGTTCTCGACAGGGACGATTGCGGAAATCTTTTAGATTTTCGCCTCCCCAGCGGATTCCTCGCATATCCTCTCATTATTAAGTCAGCTGCTCGTTTCTCAAATGCAACGGTGCCATCTAGAGGCCACAGACCTTTTCAACAAAATTTCTTTTTCTCCAAAGAGAGGGCACCCCACTGGCACGCTTTTTTTTTTCCAGGAGAGACGCATGAACAGAAGGCTAAAATGATTGCTGCCTGTTCCTACCAATGGACACAACTGTATAAGATGTGCTCTGGTAACAGCAACTGTATCTTCTTTGTTGACTGGTTTTACTGGGTTTGTACTGGAGACTATGGAGAAAAGTAGGACAGAAATGTGATAAACACATGAATAATACATTCTACCGGTATCACATGATGCAAGCATAGCATTTGGTACTGGGTCCAAAATACAAAATTTTGATTATCAGATTTCTGTTATTTCTTTTTCTTCCAACATGTTGCTAACCCTTAAAGCTACAAAAATGTACTTGAAAAGATAGAGACAGACAGACAGGGTAGCTTCTGAACTTAAATAAAACCTGATTCAGTATATAGGCAGCTCCGGAAGAAAGCCAAGAAGCTGGATGGGGGCACTTAGATTAATTTCCAGAGCTAAGATGTCAGCAGCAGAGTGCAGCCTAATGCACGTCTATTCAGAAGGAAGTCCCATTGAGCTCAGTGCAACTGCTTTTAAGTCCATTGGTATGAGTTTGTAGCCATAATGTGCTTGCTTTGCTTTGATTACACAATTTGGCTTTCCTTCAGTTCGCCTCAGAGCAGGGCTTTGACTTCCCATTGCTTAAAATTCTCTCTAGCTCTGCCTAAGTGACATTGCCAAGAGCAGCAGGCCTGAGTGGGCTCACATCTGCCACATCTCTTGTTGGGCAGCAGCAATAGAGTGGTGGTCAGATCTGAAGGGCAGCTGCTCATCATGAGAGTCTCCATAGTCATGCCCCCAAGGTAATTCCTGAATTTCAGATTTCTGTCCTGATCCATATATATACAAACCCATTCTAGCAATTTTCACCTGCAGCACGAACAGGCCTTTCGAAAACAAATGAGTCTTGATTGCCTCTTCAAGACACCCTGAAACAGTTGCAGCTGGAATTGATATGCAACCACTGGGAAAATTGATTTCCCTCCCTCACAGCCCGTACTCGTTGCAGCTCAGCTCAGAGGGAAGAGGGAATTCTGGGTGGCAGTGCAGGGGAGAGAGGACAGTGGCATCCTCGTTCGTTTCAAACATGCCAGAAGTAGCCTTCCTGCAAGCCCTGGTTTTGCCACACCACTGGAGGGCAGCATCTAGGAATGGTGAGGAAAATTGTGTTCCTGCTGATCGCATTTCAATGAGCACCTTGACCTAAATGGATAAACATCAGCTGAGCCTGGCTTTGGTCATGAATGTTGCACAACTAATGGATATGGCTGGGTGGGTGGCAGCCTCACCGACATCTTGCTTGTTGGAGTGGATTCAACTACCTTCTCCAACCTGGACCCCTCCCCTCCATGATGTCTTGAACAACAATTACCATCATCCTCAACCAGAATGGAGATGATGAGAGTTGCAGCTCAGTGCATCTGGTTAAAGGAGGCTACATTTCAACTTCTAACAGCTGCTCATTTTTCTTAGTGGGCTTTTTCAGATCAGGATGTGGGTGGTACGAGTTCAGCTTGCTTAAATGCAAGAGACAGATGACTTGTGATGGTGATGACGACGAAGAGGACTGGGAAGGTGATGACGATGATGGGCCCTGGAGGTCAGGCCAGTCTGGGCAAAGAATGATAAGCAGTTCCTGGCACATGCTTAAAGTGTGTTTCCCAGGGATGGGTCCTCAAAAACCCGACTCAAAGACCCACTGTGTTTCAGGCCCAGCAGCAATCAGCACTGCCGCTCTAGAACAGCAAAGAGTGCGAGCTCACCCAGTCCAGGGGAGCAAGGCTTCACATTCCTCTCGTCTCCCTCAGCCCACACACACGCGAGGGCCGGGAAATGACTTGTTCCCCAGGAGCCCCCCCTCCCAAACAGCTTTTCTTTTCCGAAAAAAGCCATCTGCCCCCTCTCCGCTCACTCCCTGTAGGCGTGTGCATGGTGCGCAAAGGGTCCCGCTGGGGCAGGCAGCACCAGGCACCTGCAGACGGGCCCAGCGGTACTCTTGGAGCTGCTCCCTGTTGGGGGCGTGCCCCACCCACCTGCCCTCTCCGAGCCCGAAGCCATGACAAGAGCTGGAGGTGGAGCGGTGGCCTGCCGTGCCCTCCTGGGTGCCCTGCGAAGGGCAGGCAGGCAGGCAGCGGCGCCTGGGAAGTCCTACAGGCTTCATGTTTGAGTCTTCAGGGGAAAACAAACGAACAGGCAGCACACCCCACATGCATGGTCTCACCGTCTCTGCCTGTCATTCAGACAGAAAATGTACGAGCAGCGAGCACAAGAGACGGGTTAAGTAAGTTTGTCGCCGATTGCTTGATAGCGTTGTGCATGCACACACACAAGTGGCAGCTCCTGCTCCAGAGGCCCTTCAGCAAGATGTTCTCAGTGGGCTCCCTCCTTACCAAGGCACTGAGAACATCCTGCTGAGAGAAGCCCGCCTTTCCCCTGCCTGGCCAAGGCACAGGTGCCTTGCCATCTCCCGCTGGCTCTCTTTTGCTCTGAACTGCCCATGATCCCAAGGCAGCCCTGCGTTGTCCCAGATCCTGTGTACCTCTGCAGGCTTCTCTCCCCGGATGATCACATGCTTCGAGCATCCCAATAACAACCTTAGTCCCCGGGTCCTCTCTTTCAACTCCGTGAAGCAGGCGATTCATCGGGTCAGCCTAGCCAGTAGGAAGGAATCACATGAAGTCAAGGCAAGAATAAATGCTGTGATCAATTCTCTTATTTATTAAAACTGGTAGGCACCCAATTTCAAAAGACTTAAGGCATATGTGACCCATGAAAACAGACTCTCTCTTGTCCTCTGTTTCATTGATGCATGTCCTCCTGTTTGGTAATCGAGAAATGGAGTGAAGTTTGGGGAAGAGTTCAGACATCCAGGTTGAGGCCTGGAGGTTGAAACTTGTTCCAGAAGCTGTTTTCTGTCTTGGCAATGCAGATCTGAAATTTGAGTGTTGATCATAAGATTCCAAATGGATTTCTTTGGAGGGGAAGAACTACACCACTGTTTCTCACTGAGACCTTATTAGCCCATTTTGCAAGGCAATAGATTTCTCAACTGGAATATTAGATGCTAATCCAGGGACTCTTAATTCCCAGTCCTGAAGCTTCAGCCCAATTAATGGTCCCTCAAGTGACTCCTTTCTGTTGTTGCTGCTGTTATATTTGAAGTGAACAAACATGTAATATTCCTTGGGAATGAATCAGTGTCCAATTAATGGCACACAAACAAGTCTGAGATAACCAGAGCAAAGCATCACTTGGTCATCCAGGCAGAAAAGCAGCCTATCTGGAAAGATTCGCCCTAAGCAAATATATCCAACATGTGATTAAACTAAGTCACTGGTAGAATGGAATACCAGCCAATGCAATTAGAAAGAAATGGCTCCATGAAACTTCTTGGGAATAAGGCACCTTAGCAAGGATTAACATGAAGTCTCATTGCTTACCACACACATAAGGACTTCTAGGAGAACCATCTCTTTCACAGGAAGAAAGCAGATAATTCCAACATTTTAACCTGATGGAAATTCACGGCTGAAGAAAGTTCAGGTTCTTTGCCTAGGGTTATTCTTGAGGTGTGCATTCTGTATTTACATAAGGCTTTAGTGGGTGAGGGTCTGCTTGCTTTGAACACTACTGTAGCCTCACATGCTTGGCAAGACCTAGAGAAACACAGAGCTCTTCATATGCTACCCAGCACTTCTATCTCGCCCTTGTATATAGCACCAAGTTGGTGCTTTCCATTCTGCAGCCCCTGAAAAAGGTTCCTCAGCCTAGCTTGGAACTGGTAGGAGAGACAGAAGCAGATGATGGGATTAATGCAGCGACGGGCAAAGGCCAGGAGGGAGATGAGATGATAAGCCAGGTACTTGGAGGCTGTGGTTAAGAACTCCTCATAACTGATAAAGAAGATCACCAGCCAGTAGGGAAGCCACATGGCCACAAGTGCTGCCATGGTGACCAAAGCCATCACTGTAGCTCGCCAGTTCACTTGCAAGCTGGAGGCCGTGTGTATTGAGAGTGCCCTCCTAGCCCTTAAGGTGGAGATGATCCTTGAGTAGCAGAAAATCATCAGCAGCAATGGGGGCAGAAATCCCACCCCTCCCAGGAGCTGTAGGTAAAGGTTCATCTCCTTACCCACCGTCTGGTTCACGCAGGCTGCTTCCCCCTTCGCATGAATGGTCTCATAGTGAATCCAAAGTGGGATGGATAATAAGAGGCAAAGCACCCAGATGAACACACAAAGCAGAGCCATTTGCTTGGGAGAAACAGGCATCACACACATGGGGTGGATGACGGCAGCATAGCGAAGCAGGGAGACGGCCACCATGCTATAGAAGTCAGCAAAGGAGATCCACAGGTTCAGGCTGTGGTTGATGACACACAACAGGTGGCTCATCTTTCCCTCCTTAAAAATGGCGCTGGCAAACAACACAGGGATATTGGAGAGGAAGAACAGGAGGTCGAGAGCCACAATGCTGATGAACAGGGGCTCAGTCAGGCGTGCAATGTGGCCGCCACTTTTTCTCCAGAGACCTCGGATTAGAACCAAGAGCAGCAAGATGTTTCCTGGCATGCCCAGGAGCAAGAGGAGGATACTGCAGACAGCAAACACATTCTTGCTGTAGAAGTAGAAATGATCACTCAGATTAGAGCTGGTGTGATTCCCCACACTGAAACTGGAGGCCATAGAGCAGCAGCCTTTGATTTAGTCCTTGCAATAGAACCAACCAAGAGTTGGGCCTTCTTCTGTTCCCTGGAAACATAAAGATGGCATCAGTGGTACTCAGGACAGCTGCATTTGGGATAATAAAATTAGCACATTGTATCCAATGGGGAAATTACTGGCAGAATGGATCCCTCAACACCACTGCAGCCTCCATACTGCCCCCCCTTGCACGCGCACACCCCCTCAAATGCACACTCTCCACAGATGCTCTGGAGCAGATCTGGGAGGCTGCAGAGGGAGGGGAGGATGGAGAAGCCCCATGCAATGCTGGATCCAATCTGAAGACTTTTTCTTACATGGAAAGGCACCAACAAGGAAGTCACAGAAACGTTGCTGCCTTAGACCATAACAAGCATATTGGTTCTGCAGGAAAGAAGCATAAGCAGACATTTGGGTATAGTGGCTGATCTGTGTGTGTTTCTTTACCTTTTCCAGCAAAATATGCATAGATTTTTTAACATTTTTCTCCAGAGAGTAATCTTCTACAGCAACACTTTATGTGAGAATCGGTCCAGAGGATCTTTTCCAAAAATTCAGTTCAGTTCAACATCATGTTGCCTGTTGTTTGTGGATTAGGAGTCATTTGTTTCATCTGCAGCTAGTAAGGCAGTTTGTACAGAATAGATTTAAGCTTTGCAGAGCTCCTCAAAATGGGTTTAACCCACAGCTTTACCAAGGCATCTTCTGCCATTTTCATGCTAGGAAGAAAACTGTGTCCTCTACATGGACTCCCCCATCCTTGCAGGTGTTTGTATTTCTCTGCCTTTCTAGACATTCCAGCTCACAACCACAAAATGGTGGGGTGGCTTGTGACTTCTCAGACGCTTTTGTTCCAGAATGTTGCAGTTTAAAGTTCAATGCCAGACTTTTCTCCCCCTCAAAGCAACCTGCTGCAAATGTTGAAAACACACAGGAGGCTCTGGAAGAGGATGGCATCATGAAGGGTCCTGCAAAATTCCCTGAGTGAGGGGTCACAAGAGCACTAGAACCGACAGCTCATGTAGGAAAGTCAAGTGTCAAACATGCAACTAGACATTCTTCCCTCCGGCTTGATTTTTGGTTCACATTGTAGGATATAAAAAAGTAGATCTTGGGATTCTAGTGTACCTAAGTTATTTGTGTAGTTAGTGCTTTAGTAAGGTAGCCTTCCAACTAAGTCTCCACACACACACACACACACACACACACACACACACCTCCACAGATGTTTTGGCATAAAGCTCCCATGTATTTATTTATTAAATTTGTTTAAAGCCACCCATCCATTAGCAAGATGCTCTTTGGGTGGCCAGGGTAGCAACCAGCATAGCCAGTGGTCAGTGTCTATGGAAGTTTAGTCAGAAGCACCCAAAGGACTATGAGACTGGAAAAGCTAGTCTAAGCTGGCTCCTGTTCAAAGATCCCCTCTTGCATTATCAAACTTCCAAAGAGTCACAAGCTGAACTCTAGCCTGCCACTCCGAGGATTTAAAAACCAACAAAGTTGCCATAGAAAATAATTTCCCTGTCACAAACAGCACACTGTGCAACTCACATAGAGCATCACTTTCTACAGTCTGCGTTGCTTCCCACATTGGAAGGGCATGCTGGGTTGCACACAGGAGGCAGCCAAGTCTGGACAACACCACACCTGCTCTGAACCCCTTTGTGTGATTATCCCTGCCCTTTGGCTTTAAGCAGAAAGCTTTCAGCAGAAAGCTGCTATGCCTGGATTAGAAGAACTAGTTCCATCAGTCTCGACTCACTGCTTTAACATGAAGATGCCCATCAATGATGCCCTGCTGACAAAGGACCATACCTTGCTGCTGTTGTCTGGATGGGGTACCCACTTAGAACATGGGGAAGAGAAGGGGAGGCCATGCCATGGTGGTCCAAAGCCGTTTCCTTATGACCCGTCTTTGTCCCTTCTCAGAATCTCTGCAGACGGAGTAGCATGCTTCATTTTAAAAAGAGAGTGAGTGTGCCCAGGTGTGCACTCACACACGTGCACACAGAGTGGCGCGGATGCTCCTGCTTCTGCTGCAACTGCCCATCAGCATTTTTCCACCTGAGCAAAACAGCAACTAGCTCCATCAAAGAGGATCGCCTCTCTTCTCACTGCTCAGCAGAAATTCGTCTTCCACCGGAGATGGAGTGCTTCCTTTTACTTCTGCTGAAGGCATGAACCATTTTTCTTAAGGATCAGACACCATTACCAGGGCAGATCAGCAAAAGGGCTCAGGCTTGGGAGTTTCTGCTTAGCAGAGATCCCCTTGACTGCCTAGCCAGGTACTCCTTTTATTCAACGACATCCAGGAAAGAGTTGGGGCACACACTTCTCTGTGGGCATATGAAAATGTCATGTTACTCTTCAGAGCAAGGTGGTCTAATGGTGTCCATTGTATTATGCTGACCTGTGTTCGTAGTAGAAAGAGTAGGAAACAAATACAATAATTGCATAATTACAGTTCAAGCCATTTGTATCAGGTGGAACATGGGTTTGCTAAGAATTGTTTGTTCAACATTAGGTCCTTCTTGTGCAGCCAGCCAATGAGCTCCGCATTATTGCTTGATCCTGGTGTTTGAGAAGTCAGTCTCTGGTTTGCTTGGGTCAGAAATGCGTATCAGCATAACGGTGAGCTAAATCACATCCAACGTAGTTTGCAATGTGAATTGGGGAAGAGGAGGCTTGGCAAGGTTTATTTTTTGTTTTGTTTTTTTTAATGTGGTTTCAATATTTCTAGATATAGGAAGCTTTACCTGTAATTCATCCTAAGTCTGGTGTGCAACTTTAGCCAAGTCCCTCTTGTCCTAATGTTATGAATACACCCAGATAAATTGGTGTACAACTGAAGCCTTTATTAAATATCTAACAACTTACCTTCAAATTTTTCTAAGCCTCTTTTTAAAATATGATGACCTCGGTGATACATATGTTACCAGCTTTCTACTTACCTGATTTTTTTGGTCTTTAAATTCACTAGCTTTTCAGGATATATCTTAACCAAGAGATTTATCCCAGTACCATTCTGTCAAAGGCAATGCTACTCAAAATACAGAAAATCAGTATAGCTAATATCCTTTGCTAAGGAAATGTTCATATTTACAGTTTTAAACCTGCAGTTGTAGACAAATAATTTCTATTGCATTGGTTCCAGATACTCTTCTTAGAAGCTGGATTAGTGCTTCCTCTTCTTAGAAGCTGGATTATCAAAAGCCAGGTCCATGCAATAATGAGGAGCTCATTGGCTGGCTGAACAGAAAGAACCTAACACTGAATTTTAAAAAAATGGCAAACCCTCATTCCATTTGATACAAATCACTTGTGCTTTGAGTGCTGTAATTATACAGCTATTAAATTTGTTTCCTACCTTTCCTACAAGGAACACAGGGCAGCATATGCAATACATATCATGTTAGCCTGCACACTAATTATTTGTGGTATTTATTTCCTGAGCAACAAGAAGACATGGGGGAGGGGGGATGTGCATGCACACAAGTGCATGTGTGCAAAGACAGAGCAAAAGCCACTACATAGTGATGTTTTCACATTTGTTAATGAGAAATTTTTTGTGAAGTAAACAGTGCTATACCCCATTATCTCTCAGGTATATGTTGACAAGCTCCAGTGACACAGGCGACCCAGTTATCTAGATCTGTGGGTGACAGCAACTCTCTTCCATAGACGCCTCCAATTCCTGTTAGAGAAACCTCTCCCCAAACTCCTGCTCTCAACTGAAGTTGATGTGCATTTCACTGGTCTTCAAAGCTCCGAAGATCTACTGCCTTTCCTTCCATACAAGCAGTCCTTGTGAGGCATCTCTGAAGCCCAGTGGAAGCGAGGAAGACCTGCTGGAACATTACCTCCGACAGCTACAGTTGTGGAAATGCTTGTGATGGGCCTCAAGGTCTTGACACCACTCCCTAAAGAAACATGTGTGGACCTAAGAAGCTGCCTTAGAATAAGGAGGAGGCTGGTGTACCTCCTAGGATATTGTCTACATTGACAGCTTTCCAGGATTTTAGACCGATGTCTTTCTCAACTCTTCTTTGAGAGCTCTGAGATTCAACCAGAGACCTTCTAAATGCCAGACATGTGTTCTGCCACTGAGCTACATTTTCCCAAGCATTTCCATGACATTTTTTAAGAGCAAGGAGAGTGTAGGATTATATGAAAATGGTGGAATGAACCACAGATGCTCATGTGTTTTTGAAACTCCACCATGCCTTGTTCTACTTCATTGTTGGGTAACAGAACATATAGAAACACAGAGAAAGAAATAGGCTAGTAAGCAAGCAAGCAAACCAACATGTAAAGGAGTCCATCTTAATCCCCCAAAGGATCTAGAAGCAGAAGCCTCAGTAAAGTGGTGGGTTAAGATTCATGTAGAGAAGCCTTTTAGTAGACCAAGCACAGACATTTCCCCCCTAGGTACAGTTCTCAATATGACCCAGCTTGTTTGTACCACTACACAGATGCTAACAAAACTCTCTCTCTCTCTCCAGTGTCTTCATGGCTCACCTCCATTTGCTTCTCCCCTGTGCCCACTGCATGTGATACGCAAGCGTAAACTTGTTATGCCAACCTTTCCCAATCAAGTATGCAAACTTGTGTCATTCACTCTCTTTGGGAGGGTAAAAGAGAGGTCAAAGATTCAAACACTGCCATTTCAGGAAGAATATGTGAAAACATGTTTTGCAAATACACCACCAGTAGGAAAAAACAACCAGAGATAAGGAAGTGAGGCACGGACAACAGTAATGTAACATGCTAGAACCAAAAGTGGGGTGGGCGTGTGGCTTGATCCTAAGAATGGAAGCAGAAAACCTAAGGGAGACATAGAGGTTTTCTGGATGAGGCTCTTTGACTCACTGTTAGACTTCAGATTTCATGGTTGAATGAAGATCAAGAAGTTGTTCTCTGTTCCTGCCTTTCAATACTTTCTGTCACATAATCTCTAGATGGCACTGCAGTATAGAGCAGGGGTCTCAAACTCGCGGCCCGCGGGCCAATTGCCGGGATGGGCAGGGCACAGGGGAGAGGCCCTGCGGCCTTCAAAGCGCCGGGGGCGCCCGGGCCGGCCTCTGGGAGCGACGCAGGATGAGCGGCCCACCACCACCACTTGATGCAGCCCAGCCTCACCCAGACTCTACTTCCAGCGGCCCCCAGGTAAGTTGAGTTTGAGGCCCCTGGTATAGAGGAATAAGGTGACCACACTGTCAAGGACTTGAGCTTCCTTTTGCAATGCTCTGAAATACCAGATATTGCACCATCCAAAATCCTCCCAGAAAGTGTTCTTTTAAAACAGCAGTTAAATTGGAGGGTCCACTGCTGACATCACCAAATGTGCCTTTAGACAACTGTAAGTGAGGAATGACAAGCACACAATAAAAAGCCCTGCCTGGAGGAGCTCATAATTTGAAAGGGAGAAGTGGCAGCTGTTGAGGGGCTGAAATCTCCCCTGTCCATTCTTTAATTCCATTTATATCTTGCCTTTCTTCGAAGGAATCCCAGGAATGCATAAGGTCTACCCCTGTCTATTGTTACACAAACATCTAGAAACCTGGACTAGCAGGGAAAGTGCTCAGGAGTTCTGTACTATCCCAAGATATTTTGTCTTCAGATAGTGCAACTTTTTTTCTCTAGTTTTTTCAGTCCTCAGTGGAGAAACAGTGCTACGTATTTCTACATTCCACTTTACCACTTAATGTTTCCTTCAGCACCAAGACTCATTGTACCAGCACATTCTTAGCATATCAACTGCAAGGATAGTGCAACTCCAGGTTAGTGTCTGGACAATAGACAGATACCTTATGCCTTCATGGTGCTTATTTTGGATGAGTTCATTAGCTTCTGATCCCAGTAGTTCAACATTGTCTGTGCTAGATGTGAAAAAGACACCCTGAGGAAAGATACAAGTCTTTTCTGGGGCCTCATGAATGTTCCAAGCTAACTTGGAATGAAACTTTTGCCTGTTATTGATTGGCAGTCATCCTTACAATATTCTAGAAGTTGGATTCTAAGTAGCACTGTCACAGGAACTGCCAGATGCGTTTCTTGGGTTTCAGTGTAGAAGCACTAATGTATTTGCAGTAAAAGAACTGCGCATAAGAGACCTCATCTCCATGCTCCTAAAGAGAGTATGTTGCCAATCTCATACTCAAGCTCAGAAGCAAAAATGTTGTTATACAACACAGACATCTCAAACAAAAATGACAGATACATTTGTTTGCAGATCTGAGAGCCAGTGTGATGTAGCGGTTCAGAGTATGGACTGGCACTTCAGAGATCTGGCTTCTTACTCCTTGCTCAGCCATGAAACTGACTGGGGGACTTTGGGGCAGACACAAACTCCCAGCCTAATGTACTCATAGGGTTATTGATGTGAGGCTAAGACAGGAAGAGGAGGAGAATTATGTGAGCCACCTTGAGTTCCTTGAAAGGAAAAAAGGCAGGATATAAAATAATTGCAAGCAAAACTTGCAATTAATTTCACAGCACATAGGTTGAAATTTTTTTTTTTTTTTTTTAGGTTGAAATTTTTTATTTAAATAAAAACATACTACAAAGTATGTAGTATGTACACAGCACACAGGGCCACCCAAAAGCTGACTTGAGTAAGAGGAAGGACTCTGCTCATGGAAAGTCACTCCATTCCATTTCTGAGGATCCCTCCTCCCCCACAGTTCACCCCACGTGGCATGTCTCCAGTGGAGCATTTTCAGGGGGCTGGAGGGGGCGGTAAACTTCATTACACCAACACCAGTGAATGCTATCCTATCTTCTCCTTGGGAAAAGATGAATTTAGTAGCACTTTACTGAATTTAGTAGCACTTGCTTCTAACTACTGAGGTCCAGCTTTTTAAATACATTGACCAAGTTTGCATGACTAATAGAAAGAGAAGGCACAGTTGTTTTTTCCATTCCTGAATGCACTGGGTGTTAATTCTGTATGTGTTTATTATATCTCACCTTTCTCCCACTCAAGGTGGCTACATGCAGCTCTCAGGTGGTCTCACCTCCAAGCTCAGGCCAGTTCCAGACCTGCTTTAACATGGCAGGTGCCTTATGTGCACTGAAGCCAAAATTACCCTTGTTGTCTGAACCCAGCAAGATGTGCAGCAGGGGTGGCCTTGAAACCAACCCAGAATCCATGTCTTGTTGCAGGTTTCTGGCGTGGTTTCAATGTCTCCTCCACTCTAGCGCACAACTTGCTGAGTGTAAATGACACAGAAAGCTGCATGCTGTGCGGGTAAGGAGGGAAATTGCGCAGCATGAGGTGGAAAAAAGAAACTACTGTGGCTTCTTTCCCTAGGATCATGTGAACTCAGCTTTGAATTTCAACTTCCAACGTTTTACTAGAAATGGAATCTCATAAAGTGCTGCTGCTTAGGCTCCCAGGACAGGGTTGGGCAGCCCCAGAGCCCTGCTACTTGAGTTTCCACCAAAATTTGGTGCTGGAGTGCCAGGTAAGAGTATGCCAATTTCTCCTTAAAATAGGCACATGCAGAGCATGTTTTTGGATTTGAAGCTGATTTTCTCTCAGGAGTGTCCAAGGAGTGCCATTTTGTTTTGACACAAGCACTATGTCTTATTTTAAAGGGAAATGGGTGTATGGTTTTCCCATCATAACAATGCAATGCACCTCCTGGTACGTTCCTGAAGGAAAACTGGCCTGTGGAACTTGTCCAAGTTCATCTTAGAGTGTAGCAGGAATTTCAGATAAGAAGCATCCATTTGCTTATTTTCCTCAGTCTAGCTTCCTGTGGGAATCTGTGGCAAGCACTAAAAAACTTAAAAGCCTTGTTATCAGTTCATTCGTTGCCAGAGCAGGACTGGTGTCAATTGTCTGTAAATTACTCTGCTGCCAGATATCATCATCCCTGTGCTCCTCTGCTTTCCCTCTTCAGTACACCACTGTAGACCTCTCAAGAGTTCATTCATGGAGTTATTCAGACAGTGACTAGCTATTGCTTGGTAATATAAACCATGTGGGGCGTGGATTACATCAGTCATTACCTACAGCTTTTTTTACATGAGACTTTTAAACTACCACTTTACTGAGGCTTCTGCTTCCAAATTCTTTGTGGAATTAAATTGGTTCCTTTAATACTTTTCTTCTCTGGGTGCTCCTTTCACTGCCCTTGTGTTTCATTACACAACCATTGGGTGGCTTTATGGTACAGTGGAAATGCACAGATGGTTGAGGTTGTGTAAACCATCTGCAACCCATGTGGCATCGTGAGCTCAATAACTTACGTATTTTTACCTCATGTAGAAAGGCTGGAAGTCTCCAGCAAACCTTACTGGTCCTTCCTTGTGAATTGTTTTTGCTCGAAACAGCTGAATAGAAAGTTTTTCCCCATTTCACAGGCCTTAATGAAATCTCGTTCATGAAGCAAAGATAAGGAACTGAACAACTGCAATACAGGGACAGTTCCACAGCCTGTTCACAGGGAAAACATGACTCTAGCACAGAGCAAAGGAACATCAAAATGTAAGATGGCAGACAAATCTGTTTCTGCCACCTCATACTTCCCCTTCAATGCCCATGGAAATAAAAGCCTGAACTAAAAATTACAGGTAAATGCAGTTAGGCTATTCCTTATCTTTACCCAGTGCATCAAGCAACAGGCCTGAAAAAAGTCACTTCACACACAATGCTATGCCTATTTAGGCAGAAAATGGCCTACAATCCTAGCATGTGGGCCTGCCATGCTGGCTCAGGCATCTAGGGAGCTGTAGGCCTTTTTCTGTCCAAATAGGCACAGCATGGCATCCTAAATGAGGCCATGTTTATCTTTATCCTTGTGTTCTGCTCTGCAAATCATAAACTGAGAAACACTGTCCTATCAGAGGTTTCATGCTCACAAGAGTAAAGGTAGACAACATAAAATGTTCAATAAAAGCCCATTTTTGTTTTTATTTCTAACCTCAATATTGCAAATATACAGAAAAATACCAGTACAAATTTATAATATAGCCAGGCTTATTTACAAACTCTATATATAGTTCCTTCCTTTTTCTTCTGCAGCTTGCCTCAGACAGTACATCTTAAGAAATTCTATGTACAGAAGTATATCAGCTATGGCTTTTTCTTATTCTACAGCAATTATGCACACGGTATGGAGTCTTTTTCCATTCTGGTTTGACAAGTCAGGAAGACAATAATGCTTCAAAGCACATGCAATGGCAACATCTCTATGGCTGCTTTGTTGCTTGGGCAGCAGTGAAACAGATGTAATGTGATCTATGTATTCAATACTATGGAAGGGAAAGCTACTGTTGCCTAGGGCCCCATGTGTGTGTTGGCCACCAGACCCGGTTTGTTTATTGGGTAAGTTTCAGGTTACTTGGATTAGTGTCACTGCATCAGCCAATGTACTTCAAGGTCGCTTGCTTAAGAGGGGACAATAGAAAGTGGGCAGTTAACAAGACACAGGTCTCCTTGAGAGTACCTAATGATATTCTTCTCCCACCTGCCTTGAAAAAATGCTTTAATACATATGGCCAGTTGGACATGTAATGCGAAGAGCCAGTAGACAGACTATTAGGTTCACATCACAGTGGATGAGATCTTCATCTGTTTCATAAATACAGGTTCTCCTACATTCCCAGCCCAGTACATGGACGTTCAAGAATCGCATGCACAATAGAGCAATTTGCACTTGGTTTCATACCAGAGTGCATCACACAAAAAAGTTCAAAGAAAGAACAACAGTTGTGAAATATCTTTGTGGGACACAGGATTATTTAGCTCCCTTTAATTCAAGGTTTGGTTACCATGAATTTAAGCAAACATTAATTCACCGTAAACATGTGCAGTGTGCTTTTATTTACATGTAAGGTGTGCTTCCATACTGCCCTAAAAGTGATAAATAATCAGTGAAAATCCTTTTTAATAGAACAAACCTCTTCTGAGGATCGACATTCCTTCCAATCATTTGCTGGAGTACCTCCCTTTAACAAGAGACAACAAAAAATGTATACTGGATAAATGTACATTTGGGATGTATTCATATTATGCAGGGGTACAAGGGTTGAAATAAAGGCCTTATCCAAAAGTACAATAAAGCTAAAATAAGTGAAAGAAAGAAAGCTCAGGTCAGGATCTTGCTTCCAAGTATCTTACTTTCATTTTATTACTTCCAAAGAAAAAGGAGGCAAAAGTTGACTTTACCAGCATGATCTTAACTACTTGGAAGTACCCAACAACCTCTGCATATCTAACAAATTGATTTGATACAAGTCCACAGGGACAGCCTAACCTCAAACAGATTAAGCTCACTCTTTTCTTCACATGTTGGCTTCATGACACGGTGAATGATGACAAGTGTCAACAAGTTCACCAAACCAGAACCCTAACCCTGGACTTTTGCCAGCAGGAGAAGGATGTTAAATCAGAACAGAATTTACTGATGTTGACAAAACTTGGATTAGCATCCCATTTTGTGATGTTCACCTGCATTACAAAGAAAGTTCAATCCTACCCACTCCCTCCATTATGAAGCAATTGTCATTCAGTTTACAATGCACTACTTTGTATTTCCAACTCTGGCACCTCCTGATCCCAAGCACCACTTCCCTTGGAAAACATTCTGCAGATCCCAGGACCCAGAATGGATGCAATGGCAGTATGCTAGGGACCAGGAAGGGAGGATGGCCTCTTACCAAAGCCCCCACAGAGAACTTCCTGCTTGCACTGCTCCACTGTCACATAAGCTTGGGAGAAGGGAAGCAGAGTGAGGCAAGCTGCAGGTGCTTCCACTGAAGGTGGGGTTTGTAGGGATGAGGTGGCAGGTGTTCAGACATGATCATGCTCTTGATCAAAAGTAGCTTAGTTGGCCAAGTCCAATTCTAAAAGAAGCAGAGCTTATTCGTCAATGCTTATTATAAGAGGACTTGTCCCAAATTACACTTAAAACCACACCTTTTAGTGAATGCGGTCCTCAATGAAAGGGTAGTAATACCACCAGTCACTCAAAGTGTATTTCACATTTGTGCCTGTGAAAATCGCTTATTTGGGTAGCTAAAATTCTATGAAGCACTAAACAAATGAATATTCGGAGAGTCATTCAGTTCACTCTTGCCTCTTCAAACACTTCAGTCCTTTAGAGTGCAATTCGATGCACATTTGGAAAGAAAAAAGCCCCACTGTTCCCCAGTTGGGGAATCCAAGAACGTGTAGGACTTTTCTCCTTCTGAATAGGCATAGGAATGCACCCCACTGGCAGTGAAAATCAAACGCCAGCTATGCCACAAATGGTTGAATATGTTGTTGTTCTGTGGCTTCTGCTCAGGAAGAAGCCTTCTATTCCTGCAGCAACAGTTATCAGATTAGGATGCTTCTATTGCCAATTCACATCCTAGCAGATCTCCTTTTAAGCTATAGAGTTCAATATATTTCTAAATCACTTGGTGAAAATTCACTTCACAATTCTGTGAACTAAGTGTCATTGGAAAACAGAGTATGACTCCATCTGGAGAGTATAACTGAGGGAACTGATAAATGCACATAGTGGAGCAGGGGCTCCAACCATTGATCTATTGCTTTCAAGAAAACAGATGCATAGCAAAAAACAAACACTGAACAACATCATGGTGCTGCCTGTGAAGTAATGAAGCTTTCCTTCAAGAAACCGATCTAAAGCACCTAATTTCTATTACTTCAAGAGGTCATAACATTCTAAACAAGTCTTATTTTTAAAAGATCTGTAATGTTTAGTCCTACCATTTATACAATAATCATCTTCCCCACTCAGATGATTTTGCTTTCCTTCTAAAAATAAGATTTATGGCAGCATACATGCTGATTTCACAGTTTAGTTTAGAGTTGCTTTGAGACTTGGAATAATCTCTGCTTTGCACAACACACATCCAGCCAGTTGATTACACTTTAGTTAGAACAAAAAGCAACCCCATTTCAGTACAAAACCCTTTGGGATGCTGGTTAGTTCCTCCAGTTCCTGCTCCAGCATCATAATGCTCTGCTTGCTAGGAAAAGTGCTGGTCACACTGCAGGAGCGTCAAAGCAGTATCATCACAGTGTTGAGTCAAACACGTCCCCTACCTAGGAATTTGGGCCATTCTTCCAGCAGCATAATATTCTGTACCTAGTAATGCTAATATGGAGTGAAATGTTGCTTTCACATTTCTATTTAGTTCTCTTTTAAGATCAGGAAAGAAATCTTATTAAAATAATGTTACATTTTAAAAGAAGCGTTTCCTTCTTCCTCATGCAGAGCTGCAATGTCTTCTCTCCTACCCTTACTCCCTGCAACACAGTTCTTGCAGTCTTGCTGGTTTTAGACAATTTTATTGAAGAAAGAGGAACACAGAATTCCCTTGGACATGGAAAAGGCATCAAAGATGAGAGAAAAATGGACTGTCGGCATTCACGCCTTTTTGTAGCAGCATTCAAACTCATATGTATCCAGTTCTAGCAAGATCTGTAATATCATTACTCCAGGAGATCCTGAGCAGAAGAAGAAAAAAAACTCTTGTTAGTTTTCAGGATTAGGATTCTTCTCAAGTTTTCTCTTGACTAACAGATGTAAACCAAGCATTCTGTTAAAACACACTGAAACATGGTATTTTCAAACAGGCATAGGTCAAAAATCACACATTGGAAATCCACATTTTTCAGTCTAAGTTGACAGAAACTGCTAGAACGATACACACTCATTGGTCAGAATCACTTGCCTCATCAGAATCATCATGGTAACCAGTTTTACTGGCCTCTGGTGTTTCAAGTCCTTCAAAGCCATTGGCTTCCGCATGCTGCTGTAGGACGGAATATCGGTGAACCAGAAACCTAGCAGCATAATAAACACAAATGGAATAATTTTACCTGTGACAACTGTACCTCTGATCAAAGCAGCTACAAAGAGGTGAAGATAAAGGCTATAGCCTTTTAGAGAGATGCCAGATAAAGGTAGAAATGATTTAAAAAAACCCAAATCATTTTAAAAAGCAAAGCATGGAAGTGAAGGCATTCACTGAGCTGATGCAATTGAATCTAAGCGTTAATCTAGATAAGTGCTCATCAGTTTGCATCTAGAGGTTCTTAGCACGATAGAGGAATAATCTTGTATTTGAAACAACCTGACAAATAAAGAGCAGGAAATTTAAAGTGCAGAGGTGGTAATTGGGAGTTGCTGCAGAATTTTCCTCCTGCTTACAATTTCCTTTTCTCTTCCTACCAGACCAGAGAGCACTTTCTCTAGTTGATTTTCTCCAAATAGAATTTAGCTCCAATATCAAAGCTCAACTGGAAGAACAATTGGGTAGAGTGCATTTTAGAGGGAGTAGGAATGAAGAGAAGAAATTTGGGAAGGGTTTGACACCCTCACCACTCAACTGACTAGGCAGGGATTTGTGTTCTAGGATCATAGGTCTGCCACACAGCTTAGGCAGGTGCATCCTAGAACACAAGAACTAGAGTTCTGGCAATCAATATATTCTCGCAGAAACAAAAACATTCTAAACTTGTTCTACTTGAATCACAAAGAAGCAAGACTTGTTCGGAAAGTTCCACTCAAACCAGCATCCAATTTCACTTCCCAGGAGGTCTTCTTTCCCTAAACTAGCTTTAGGGTTCATTTCTTTATTACCACTGTGACACAGAAGCTACATTTAGGTACTCTAATTATACCATCCTATACTGGCAAGACTGCAAAAAGGAACCATGTGGATTGAGTAAATTATGCAATTCCTTCCCAGTAAGGTGTAATGCAGGAACAGGAAAGAGCTGTACCATTTGCCCAACTCATCAACCCCCTTTTTAAATGGTGGTGTTGCAATGTAATACCTCACCACCAACGCTTAACCTGTTCAGCTTGTGAACCAATAGCTGCAGCTGCTGAAGAGGGTAAGTAATACTTTCCTGGCAGGAAACAGGATTCTTTAGTAAGAGGGCTATCATGTTATCTGCAATTCTATGATCCTTCAGAGTGGAAGAGGATTACTACTCACAGAGCCTTTACAGCCTATTGCAATTTGCTATGAAAATTCAGCTTATGCAACGCACAGCAAGAGTTTACAGAGGCCACTACTTCCAACAAACCAGAGAACAATCCCCCACAACAGTACCAAAGCTCTTGAAGAGCCCTTTATTTTTTTTTACTTTTCTCGTTATTTACAGGCTGCATGCACATCCTTCCCCAGCGCTGGAGCATCTAAGATTCCTTTCCCATGGTGGGGCTAATCCATGGGGTGACTTATGGGCCCTCATGACCATCTCACAAACCTCGTGTAGCTGCCACATGCTTCTCTTTGCCCAGATAGCATGGCAATGTTAGATATATTTAGGAGGCAGGCAGTTTACCACTCCAGAACCCAGAATGAGAACCAAGGCATTGTTGTAATGGAACCTACTAAAATAAGCCCAGTCAAAATGTGCATGACAATCCCATCATATATTAAGCACTTTCATCTGTTCTAAGACCACTGGGTTTCAGCAAGATGAGATGGGTAAAGATGTGGAACTTGTGGAGGCCAAAATGCTCTTGCAGCGAACTGTGGCTAGATTTTTTCTTCTCCTGGAAATAGAAGTATGCTTTTGCTACCAGCACATTTCAGTCAAACTCTACTACTGCAGCATCTGCGTAACAAAGGGGCAATGCGTATACAGTCTATTCTTTTACAGCCCTGCATAACGGAAGGTGCCGCCCCACTCCACAAGTCTCACCTTCCCCCACAAACATATTTCTTAATGATGACTACTCCAGCCACAGCAGTGATGAGCATCAAGCCTATTACAGCCAGGATGACTGGAGTGGAGTTTGAGGAGGCAGACTGCAGAAAGAAAGGAGAAAGAATTGATTAAGTTGATATGACATATTATTAGAGGGCGGGACCATTGCGGTTACTAAACCCTTTCTACAATGACCTGCATAGCCTATTTCAGGTTCTTGAAACCTTTAGGTCCTGGACATAATGCAGCAGAGAACACCGCCCTGCAAAGATCTGGGGAGGCAGAATGAAACTGCATATTGTGGAAAAGGGAAAGGCCTCTGCCACTGATTTCCTAGCTCAGAATGCTAATCACATCTTCAGCAGCCAGTTTGGAATGCTCATTCGTCTCACTGCCTGCACATAGCTGAGGTTAATACTAGCAGAGAATTTTTAAAAACTGACTTCTTAAACATTAATCATTAGTGTGCAGCATTGTTCTTGCAATTACAGTGGCTAAATTTGTTCATTTTTGTAACCTACCAACTGACTTGGGCTCAAGTAGTTGCTTGTACATTTTTTTTTCAGATCAGTCTCTTCACGGTTGGGATTCTCCCCACCGAGGCATTTGTCTCCAGGAATCTTTCGGTATCTGGAATTCAACAAAAGTCTCAGTAGGCTATTGGGAAGCTCCTTTCACAAACAACTGTTTTCCAAGCCAGCACAGATTAGCTGCTTCATGCTCCATCATGAGAGAAAATGGCTTCATTGTTGCCAGGCTGGCTAACCTCTCATCAGCTCAGAGATTTCAAACATCTCCAATAAACTAGGATTATTCCAGAGGGGTATTTATACAGGGCCTATAGCACTATAGTGGGACCAAGGAAAAAGTAGAACATTCAGGCTCAAAGACACTTAATATATTCACATTTATGGCTCGCAAAATATTTCAGCAGTGCTTCTCTGCTCCACAAAATGTCTTGTATGAATTATCTTAAATCTGTGACAGACCTCCAGACTTCTTATTCCACTGGGCTTACACCTGTGATGGTAACAACAGTAAGATATGAGGGAAGGTTTCCTTGAAGTTTTTTTTTTTACTTCTCCAGATACAAGAAGATTATTTAACAGAGAACCATGGCTTACTGGCAAATAATCCTTTTCCCAAAAGCCAACATATACTTTATAAAAATAAATACACATAGCTTACTCTTATATGCATTTATTTTTCTGAAATAAGAGAAGGAGACTGGGGAATATATGCAGATCTTATACCAACAGTATTTTGTGGCTAACTTAGAATATCAAGACTTATACAAATGCCAATGGACTAGAATCTTACAAGAAAATTACCCTTTTGTCTTTAACCGCTCTCGCTTCCCATACAGACAGAACTCCAAGTCGTGACCCTTCAGCTCTGGCTGCTCCACACATTCAGACTGGTTTTCTGGACGGAAGTAGCCAAAATCACTGCAGGATAATGTGGAAGAGGAGGAAAAGAGGCATTAAATTCAGAAAGGGCATGAGCATCAATTCACATTTATTATCACTGCACCCAAGAGGCTGAAAGAAGCTAAAAACAGATAAAGAGAATTAGCTGCAGCCAAGCCAGTTCTTTGAGAAAGCGTGTGTCCATTGTTTTCCACTTTACTAACACTCAAAAAACCTTGAAGTGCAATACATTTTCTAGTTTGGACAGTGGTCGTGCCAGAGCCATGGGCTTGTATTTGGTACCACCTGCATTGTAACAGATTGCCAAGGAAATAGTCTTGCTTCTTAATGTCTACACTACAACCTGATTTCTTACATTTCACCCCTACCCCATTTTCTTCTTTCACTTTACAATTTATTTTCTTTAGGCTGCAATTCTATACCCATTTACTTGGAATTATGCCCCATTCAACTCAAAGAAACTGCTGTGTGAATAGACACATCTAAGATTGCACTGCTAGAAGCTAAATATCTCTCAACTATTCTTGAGGGCCTTTAAAATTGGGAAAGAAATAGTCGATATAAGCAAAATCTAAGAGCTTACAAGCACTTAAGCCATACTCTTCTCCAAGAAAAAGTCAATACAGAGAAAGGCCTGAATATCACAAAAGCAGGCAACTTGTGGCTAACCAGATATTCTGGCTTACACCTTCTTCATTGCTCACTATTGGCTAAACTGGCTAGGGTTAATGAATTGAAGGCCAAAACACAAGTTGTCTACCCCTGTATTAAAGGCACTACAGTACAGGAAGTCTTGGTCAGTCTTGGTCATAGTTTTTGAAAACTATGTATGGAGCCTTTGCTCCATTCCACAATGTAGTTTCTTGTACTTTTCTAGGAGCCCAGTCCCTGAGGTACTTTTGTGAATTTATGGTCCCAATCCTGTCTTTCTCCCTTCATCCCAGGCCCTGGCTAATCCTGCCAAAATTATTCTAAACCCAGAGAAAGAATGCAACTCTGTGTGACTTAATCTAGAGCAGGGGATTGTTGCCACTTCGGTCCCAGATAAATAGTACAGATGTTCACACACGGACATGCATGCCCACAATGGAACATCAGTTGCAGTGGAAGATCTGCCAATACAAAATCTTTCATACTTGTTTGCCAAAGGGAAAAGACTGACATCATGTACCTTGTTGATTTAAAGTTAAACTATCAAATTTGGAGTGCAAAATTAGGGATTTCTACTGGGAAACCTCTCATTCCACTGTAGTTAGATGACCAATACTTACATTACTTGACTACTCTCATAAAATACTTCACTCACGTATATAGAGCCACATACTGCAGTTGCACCTGCCACAAAAGCGTCCCTTTAATATTTCAAGGAAGCTCAAAAGGAAATGGCTATGGTCACTCTGCAGGCCATTTCAGAAGGCTGAAAATGCTGCTATGGAGAAGAAAGGTGGGAAGAACTCCCCAAACATACCAAAGGAAGTCATCTAATGTGCAAATGCAAACGGATGGTTGCTTGGTCACTATGTAGTCACGGCCATTCTGACAGACAGATGACTTGCGAAGTCGTAGGTATTCCTCCTTGTAGCCTAGTATGCAGCCATCTGCAGGATTACTGGCATCACTGGAGTGAGCCAACCACTTTGTATAATCCTTCTCCTCACCTAAGAAGGGAATAATGACCTGAGGTTCCTGAGACAGTCAAAAGCTATTAAAAACAGGTGGCCCCTTTGAGGCTCTTCTGGAAACTTATCCACCCACAAGATGGAGCCCTCCCTGGAACCCAAAATTACCTTGCAGTTCTTCCCTTGTGTGAAATACATAATCTGTGGTGCTTCACACATCATTGTTCTGTATAGCCTGATAGTTAGAGTGTTGGACTTGGGATCTGGGAGACCCAGGTTCTAGTCCCCACTCAGCCATGAAGATCACTGGGCAAGACTCTGACTCAGTCACTCACTCTCAGGTTACCTCACATGATTGTTGTTATGAGGATAAAATGGAGCTGTGTAAGCTGCCCTGGGTTCCTCACAGAGGTTAAGGGTGGGATATAAATGCAGTATAACAACAACAGCAACAACAACCTAATGTTACCCACAAGGTCAGAACAACAAAGAGCAGGAAGGAAAAGAAAAAATCCTTCCCTCTCCTCTGCTGCTGACTGGAGGGAAAAGGGAGTACATTTTATAGGGTATGGGCTGGAAAGAATGGCTTTTTAGGATGCAAAAGAGTACTGGAGATTGGACAACTTTTCTGAATCGTTACTTCAACTTGGAAAAATTATCTGGCTGCTGCTTCTTTTTTTCATGAAAAATTTAAGTATTTTAGAAGTTATGTATGTCCATCTGATTGCGGCTGGAACAACCAAGGTAGTTTCTTATGCAACTCAAAAAATAACCTGCAGGACTAATCCAGTGGGCCCACAGGAAAATGTGGCCCACAGGACTAACCCAGTCCATGAATGCTTCCCATCTGGCCTGCAAAATCTTTGGCTCTTCCCACAGGCCACACCCCATGCCCAAGTCTCACCCTCAGGAGTCTACTAGGGGCTTGTGATGGGAATCCCTATTATCTTCAAACACTGATCTGAGATAACTAGGAGATTCCCTTCTCTGCCCCCTCCACAAGGCCCTTGGAAGATTAGGGAGGAGGACAGAAACTAATCTTCGATAATCCCTTTTATCTCTGATCAATGATTGGATTGCTTCCCTTATGCCATGCCTTCTGAACTGGAGAGTATGCAACAGTGGTAAAGCAGTCCTAGATGAAGATGCTATTGCAGTGCTTCAGCAACAGCTTTGGTTGGAGTCATTATGCCCTTGCTACACTTTCCTTCATTAGGTAGAACATGGTTTGGGTTAAGCACAAAGCACTGGCCAGTGCTCCATTTGACACTCCATGATGTCAAGCGTGTGCCCATGCCTCCCAATGTCATCTGGCAGGTGGGAGGAGTGGAGGACCAGCCCAATTCAGTTCTCCCCGTTGTACAATATGTTACTATTGTATCATACTATTCTATTTTAGAAATACAGTCAAGTCAATTTGAACGGAAGCAGTCTGCAGACATTTCTCTTTGTTACCAGAAAAGAAAGATTACTCACAGTCCCTTTTGAGGAGATCATTGAAGTCAATAGTATATGAGACCCACTGGCGGGACAGAAAGCTCTCTGTAAATCCCCAGATACTAACGTTCATTGATTTTGCTCCTGGTTCTGATGCCAGGCCAGTAAAAGTAATAGGGTCCTTACTGAAAACATAACTATGCCAACACTGTCCTTCATCTGTTGAGAACCTAAAAGAGATAATCATCAGGAATTATCACTGTGGGTCCTTTAAAGTTACCAGAAAGCCTCGTGAAGCCTTCAGCAGCTGCCTGAAACAACTAAGGATGCAAGACAGGTCAAGGGAATGCTAGGTCAGACTACATGCCTAGGGGTCACTTCATGTGGATAGAAACACTGGGTCTACTTCATCTCTGTAAAGCAATACCAGAAGAAGGTGAATGCCATAGCAGCAAAACAAGCAAATGTAATCCCTCTTCTTCCAGCTGTTTTCTTCCTAGCTAGAGTTCCAGAAACATTTGCCTCAAATGGAACCCAGTTTATTCTGGACTAGAGCATGGCACATAGGAAGAGAAAGTGGACTTCTGAATATTTTGTTAAAACCGATAACTTCATGGAAAAGCTGGAACACTCTTAGTGCTACCAATCATTCCACAGCTATTCCAACTTTTCCTCCTGAACAGATTTTTTTTTTTTTTTTTTTGTAGAAAGAAAAAAAGCAATCAAGGTCAACACATCAAAGACAAAGTCTGATCTCCTTGTGAAACTCTGTCAATGAAGAAAGATGACTGCAAGATAAAAGCCTTGCCTGAAAACATCCCTATGTTTCACATATTCTAAACTCAGACCAAGCCAGTTTCTCTCTTTATCTGGAACAAGAGGGACCTACGGGGAACTAGAAGTGTGAAAGCTGGTGATGTGCCTTTCAGGAAACAGAAATTCTCATATCCTCCCCACCATACAAAAATAAGCAAAAATGAGCTTCTGCATACTTAATCATATTGATAGGATGATGGGTTTGCTCCACAGCCACGATGATGCCCCCAGAATCCAAGATGGCATAGTGATGAGGTCCTTTGAGCATTCGTGCCCAGGTGTAGCCACCATCATCCGAAATGTAAACATCTGGGTTTACTATTGAAATGGTGTCCCCCACACTTCCTGCAACATAATGACCAAGATCATAGAAGCAGGCACATTGCAGTTTTCTGATGACGGTCTAAGCACATGTATTCCTTCCAAAGTGCATCCACCTTTAAGAAACAGGACAATCCCCCCATCCCCCGCAATCAAGTCAGTGGAAGATTGCAAGGAAAGCTTCTGTACTTGCTCATTATATCACTTCACATTATATGTGTATAAAGTTTAATTCCTTACCATGAGCAATGACAATTCCAACAGCGTTAGGTTCAGACAAAGGCCCCATTGGTACATTCACTTTCTGAGAAATGCTGTAGGATGCATGGATGTGAAGGCTGCACTGTAAATATAAGACAATGCAAATAAGAAAAGGTGACACATTCAGGACAGGAGTATAGCAGACTTAGTCTCATTAAAAGCAGTGGTAGCCAGCATGCTCGAGTGACAACAAATCAGCCAATGAGGAGGATCTCTAATGATGCAAAGCCATGGAAGAATGATCCTAAGCCTCAAAACCTCATTGGTCAAGGCAGCACTTCAGAATAGAAAATCCGTATGCCCCAAGGCAGCTCCCTCCATACATAAGCCCATTCCCTCAAGTGTTCACTTCTTTTAAGAAGCTGAATTGTGAATGGCTTTCTGTCTTTTGAACAGATTAGGTCCAACTCAGTATAAACAGTGTATTCAGGAACTTGCAAAATACTCTGATTTATCTTTATTGTAACTTCTATGAACTACCCTGCTATGCAGGGTGAAGTGACATTATTACAAAATCTAGTTTCCCAATGAGCAATTCCAAAGCCCACAGGAACTTGAATAAGTTTAATGCAATTTTTAAAACTTGGCATCCAACATCAATCTATAAGTTGCCCTGTACTGGCTCCTCATTGAAGCCCGGGCCCAATTCAAGGTGCTGGTTATACCTATAAAGCCCTTAACGGCTTGGGACCTGGATATCTAAAGGAACACCTGCGTCCATATTTGCCCTCCCACCCCTTGAGATCGGTGGCAGAGGCCCTTCTCCGGGAACCCTTTGTGAAAGATATTAGGAGGGTGAGTACCCCGAGGAGGGTTTTCTCTGCAGTGGTGCCCCACTTATGGAATGCGCTCCCCAGAGAGGTCCACCTGGGGCAGTCGTTATTTGTTTTTCGGCACCAGGCAAAGATCTTTTTATTTAAACGATATTTTAATACTTGCTGATTTTATTTATTGGTTTTAAATTATTGCGCCAGGACGTTTCCAGATTTATATGTATGTATTTGTATAGACATTTATATGTTGGAAGCCGTCCCGAGGCTTATGTGAATGGGACAGCATACAAAAATTCCAAATAAATAAATAAATACTACCATGCCCTAAACATTAATTCTAACCTTAAACACATTTACTAGGAAACCTCAAAATCAGTAAAACATACTTTCATACAAATAGCCTAGAACAATAAATCTTTAGTTCCTGCATTTTATTTATTTATTTAGAATTTTTGTATGCCATCCCATTGCATAGCCTCGGGACAGCTTACATAAAATTTATGCTAGTACTGAAAAAAAGACAAACCTTCTCCTTATTTTTAGCTGTTGACTCACACTCAGCATTTTCAGGTTTTCTCAAGCGTACCCATTCCCCTCCTTGATCAAAGGTAATTACCGACCGAATGAAATTATCTAATTAAAAGGAGAAAAAGTAGTAAATCTTTTCTTTTGTGCAATACACTCCATATAACATATCTTCCAAAATTAAAAAACTGTCTTTTTGTTTTGTTTCCAGAAGATGTTTCAAGCATTCAGGGTGACATGTCATCTTGCAGAAGCAATCTTAATGCTTACAGAACCAACTAAGACATTTTCAATGCCAAAGAGCAATGTTACACTCCTCAAATTAAATGAGAAATATGCCACAGTATAAAGCACAGTTTTCAAGTCACAGTATAAAGAACATCCTACTGAGCAATTTAAAGTCAAGAACTTATACCCTAATTGTATATTGTGTTCTTGTTGTATTTGTATTTTTATTTCATTTCTATTTTTGTATTTTTGAGAAATTGTGTATTGCCCAGAGAGCTTTGGCTAGAAGGAGGTATAGAAATAAAATTAATAATACAAATACTAATAATACTTTACCATTTTCATAGGCAACAGATTCGATCTTTCCAGGTGCTCACACAAACCATTTAGGAAGGTGCACACTTAATCACATGGCCAAATTTTAGGAAATTACATAAGCATTTGAAAGTAATCAAATAATGAAAATATACGGTTCCACAAAAGAGATGGTTTAAGCCCAGGGACTATGGACACACAAGACTTCTCCCAGAGACTTTACACACTGTATGAATATGCACTTCTTGTGTCTGGAGCTAAGCCTGCAATAGCCATTCACCTGCCTGCACAGCAAAGGAGGGCGGAAGCAATGACAGCCCGATCTTCCCAGTTTACATGACTTAAGATACAACATCATATAGTAATCCCTTCTCTCAGGGACAACTCTTCCAGCATGAAATGGGAGTCATTCCTGTGTAGGTGTGCCATTTTCTGCTTTGACAAGTCACTTGTGATTCCCAAGTATAGGAAGAGTGGAAATGCCAGCCCCACATCTGGGTATGCGTCTGTTTGGCCTTTTCACTTTACTCCAGCAGTATGAAATGAGCTAACCTGTGGCTAAGACCAAATAGCTCCAAAGGATGCAGCATGAACACTTGTAACCACAGGAACAGATCCTGATGATTGTTCTATGAGTTCAATCAAAACAAAATTTGGGACCTGCACTGCAGGACAAGTGAATGTGTCTTAGAGACACTGTGAAGGCAACAGAAATACTTCCCTCATTCTAAATACTTATGAGAAAAAACAGATTCAAATAAGCTCATTCTAAGAAGCCTACATGTTATATAAATGTCAATTAATTCTAACACCCAGAGATACCTCCATTTCATTCCACTGAAGAGTTATGTTTCAACTACCTTCTTAGCAGAATCTTATTTCTCTCCAGCCACTCACTTATCCCTTTGTGGCCACTGTGTTATGCCAAGAGTTGAGTACTCACCTTCTGAGAGCACACTAGTGATATAGATGCCTCGCAAGGAGGTCACATTAGTGAAGTCTGTCTCTCCTCCAGTGGTGGTATAGAGATGCCTTTCTAGAGATTTAGAATATATGATGCCTTGATCATCAGAAGTATAAATTGTTCCATATCCAGTATCTGCAAGAAAAATGCAAGGTTGCAAGGTGGACAGTCAGATTGACAAACTGACAGGATGAAATTGTCAATTTAGCACTATCAATATGCACTATTAAAATCAGAAATTATCAGGCCTAGAAAGCTGGCTATGTACCGTCTATGCCCATTTCAGGGAAGCTTGAATAACAATGAACTGGATGAATAACTAAATGAATGAATACTGAACACCAATGAACAGGCTCAGTAAGTTTGCTTGACATCTGGGATGGGGAGGGAGGAAAAGCCAGAAAGATCAGCAGTACTTGTGCACACAACTGGCTCCATGAGTGACTTCCCAAAAAGATGATCCAAACATGTTCTGCCAGTCAGTTTACAAACTGTATTATTCAAATACTTTCCAGTCCTGGTTATGATGGTCCACACTTTAAAAGTGTGTGTTATTTCCAGAGTTAATATTATTTGATACACTTCCCTCCATAATAGATTGCCAAGTCATTTGTAAATAAAATACAAAATGTAAGCATTAATAAAACAACATTTTAAACACCCATAACTGCAACAAGCAGCAAGAAATACTATAAATACTCAAAGGTCTCTTGAAAAACATAAAAAGGCACTTTGCAACATGATCCAGAACGGCTGCCCATAACTTTCTGAATCTGAGGATCGTAGGTATATCCAAAATAGAAAAAGCATGGAAGCAACGGTTGCCTTTGCATTTTTCCTGCCCTGCAAATTACTTTGATGGCTGATTTTGGCTGCCTAAGTCTTTTGTGCCTGCTAATGAGGAGGACAGGCTGAGTCACCACTGCCATATACTGCATCCTTACTCCTGGCCTCCCCAATATCCAGTCCCAACATACAAACATAGAAACAGAGTGAGTCAGAAGGGGTCTCCTGGGCCATCTAGTCTGACCCCTGGCTCCTGCCGGCCCCGCTCACAACAAGCCCACCATGTGCATGTCCAGCCTATCTTTGAACACCCTCACTGATGGGGCCTTAACGACCTCTCGTGGAAGCCCATTCCACACCCTCGGGGTCCTAACTGTCAGGAAGTGCTTCCTGGTATCTAAATGGAACCTTGGTTCCCTGAGCTTTGCTCTGTTGGAGCGCGTTCTGCCTTCCTCTGCAGGGGAGAACAAATCTCTACCGATCTCCATGTGACATCCCCTCACATACCTGTATGTCGCCAACATATCCCCTCTGAGTCTCCCTTCTCCAGGCTGAAGAGACCCAGTTCCCTCAGTCTTTCCTCATACCCCATCCCCTGCAAACTGGCCACCAACCTTGTGGCCCTACGCTGCACTGACTCCAACCTGGCTATATCCTTTCTGTAATGAGGGGCCCAAAACTGAACACAATACTCCAGTTGTGGGTGCACCAGAGTCATATAGAGTGGTAGTAATACCTCTCTCGATCTACAAGCCACACTTCTGGCTATGCAACCAAGGGTGGCGTTTGCCCTCTTGACCACCGCATCACACTGCTGACTCATGTTTAGCCTGCAGTCAACCAGTACCCCT